CAAATGAAACAACACGCAACCGCTGGCACAATGATCCAAGAGACTGAAGAATGGATTTTCTTCCCCTTTAAAGTTTTAGATTAAGGTATTAAGGGCCGGCAGTTGAGGAAGGAACGAGTCAACTGAAGTTCTAGCTCACTACCCCAGTACTTAAAGGTGCTTTTTGAACAGGAGACACAGCACCACAGAGGCTGTAAGAGTGGAATCACTTTCTTCCCTTCTAAATAGGCTGTAGCAAGAATCTAAATGCTTTTTATTTCTCCTATAAGTTGTGTATTCCCTTTGATAGTACACTATCAAAGCACTTTGATAGATCACTCTGGCATTAACAGAGCAAAGTCATAGGGGGAAAAAGTATATCACATAAAAACAACTTCCTTATTATATTTGTCTATGAACTTCTGTGACATACATAACACTGTTTCCACAGCTTTTGAGGAAAACTAAAATTCCTTTAAAAAACATCATTTTCTTCCAAAATTAAAAAGTATGTTTTCTTGAAAAATTGAAATTGAAGATGGATATGGGAAATACAGCGACAATACGCTATATAAATCCATTAACACTGAATACTTTCCTGGTTAAGCAAATGAAACCGGCCTGGTAAAAACCAGGTAGAAGTGGCTCCTGAGCTCAGATTTCCATATTAAAAGACATAGCTACGCTGTCAAACATTCCAATTTTAATCTTTCAAGAATAGCCAGAAATCCTAAGTTTTTATGTAAAAGTGATCTAATTTTAAAATGTTGGCAACTAAATTTGTATCTTAATAGAGTGCAAGTAAAACCAGATTCTATGCTACAGCTATGCATACTCCAAGAGTTTTTTACCTCTATTCTGATGCTTACTTTCCTCAATTAAATTTAATAAATATATTAAATATATTTATTTGAATCCTATGAAAGATTTAACATATATTTTTAAATAGACATGTATATACAAAAACAAGAATTCCAGGCTAGATACCTCTTGTCAAAACCCCCATCTCTCCCTGTGAATATCAGCATTACCAGTTACCATAAAGTTTAAAAATTAATTTATTTAAAAAAAATTTTTTAATTCAATTTATTTAAACTAAAAAACAGTTCATCCCACTCCACCCCCTGCCTCTGGCAACCACCAATCTGTTTCTCTGTTTCTATGAAGTTGATTTGTTTTTCTTTTAGATTCCACATATAAAAGGGCTCATATGGTATTTGTCTTTCTATGTCTGTCTTACTTCACTTGGCATAATATCCTTGAGGTCCACTCACGGTATTGCAAATGGCAATGTTTCATTATTTCTTATGGCTCAGTAATATTCCACTGCATAGTCATACCACAATCTCTTTACCCATTCATCCAGAGATGGATACTTAGGTTGTTTCCATATCTTGGCTACTACAAATAACGCTGCCACGAACATGGGCATGCATACATCTTTTTGAGTTAGTATTTTCATTTCTTTGGATAAATACCCAGAATTGGACTTGCTGGATGATATGGTAGTTCTGTCTTTAATTTTCTGAGAAACCTCCATACTGCTTTCCATAGCGGCTGCACAAATGCACAATCCAACAACGCACAAGGGCTCCCTTACTCCACATCCTCACCATCACTTGCTATTTTTAGTCTTTTTGATGACAGTCATTCTGACAAGTGTGAGGTGATATCTCATTTGGTTTTGATTTGCATTTCCCTGATGGCTAATGATGGTGAGCATCTTTTCAGGTACATGTTGGCCAGCTGTCTGTCTTCTTTGGAAAAGTGTCTATTCAGATCGTCTGCCCATTTATTGTTTATTTTTTGCTATTGAGTTGTATGACTTCTTCATATATTTTGAATATTAGCCCCTTATCAGATATATGATTTGCAGACATTTTCCTCCATTCAGCAGGTTACCTTTTCATTTTGTTGATGGTTTCCTTTGCTGTGCACAAGCTTTTTAGTTTGATGTAGTCTCACTTGTTTATTTTTGCTTTTGTTTTTGGGGTCAGATTCAAAAAATCATCGCCAAGACCAATGTCAAGGAGTTTAGTGCTTATGTTTTCTTCTAGGCATTTCATGGTTGTAGGCCTTACATTTAAGTCTTTAATCCATTTTGAGTTAATTTTTGTGTACAGTGTAAAAGAGCATCTAGTTCTATTCTTTTGCATGTGGCTCTCCAATTTTGACTGCTTTCTCATAAATTAATTGACCATATATGTGGGTTATTTCAGGGCTCTTATTCTGTTCCACTGATCTATACGTATGCTTTAGGCCAACACTTGTTATAATGGCTATTATGAAAAAGACATGAGATAACAAGTGCTGGTGAGGATGTAGAGAAAAGGGAATCCAGTACTTTAAAACTGTTGTGCTATTTCCTTCTAGTCTCCATATTTTCATGAAAATTCTGCTGTCTTTCAAATCATTGTTCCCCTATGGTAATAAATCTGGGTGCTTTTAAAATTTATATTATGCCGTTCATAGTCAGCAGTTTGAACATGCATTTCTTTGGGCTCATCCTTTTTGGAGTTTGCTCAGCTTCTTAAATCTATAGATTTATGTATTTTAGTAAATTCCAGACGTTTTCAGCCATTATGTAATTATACAGAAAGCCTATTTGCAATAGCAAATAAGAAGGTTAAATACTTAGGAATGTATCTAACAAGAAATACGTGAAACCTATAAAAAGAAATGTTAAAACACTCATGTAAGACACAAAAATAGTCTTGAAAAAATGTAGGCATTCCTTTTTCTTAGGCTGACTCAACATTAAGATGCAGTTCTCTTTAAATTGATTTATAAATTTGCACAGTCCCCATAAAAATACCAGCAAGTTATTTTATGGAGCTAGAAAATTCAATACTAATGTTCACATGGAAAAATAAACATATAAGAATAATCAGGAACACACTGAGAAAAATTAGAAGGGGCGTCTAGCTGTAACAATCTTTAAGATATACCATAAAACCAATATAATTTAAAATGTTGTATTAGCACATGCGTAGACAAATAAACCATTGGTATAGAATATAAAATCAGAAATAGACCCCAATACATATGCTAATTTAGTAATGATAAAGGAGGCATCTCAAATCATTAGGGAAAGTAGATACTTTTTAATAAATGATGATGGTATAACTGGGTAGTCATTTGGAAAAATCTATAGTTAGATCCATATCTCACACAATAACAAGAATAAACCACAAATGGTTAGGAATCTAAATGTTAAAAATGAAACCATACAGGTACTAGAAAACAATATGGATGAACTTCTCTTTAAACCCAGTATAAGAAAAGTGTTCCTAACTATAACTCAAAATCCAAAGGCAATAAAAGATTGATGCATTTGACTACATTAAAATAAAAATACTTGTATGCCTCCCCAAAGCTCATAAAAACAAAGTCAAAAGATAATTGTAACTGACACAGAAGAAGAATATATTTGTATCATATGCCACAAACAAAGGACTGATATACCTAATATTTATGAGACACAGGACCAAAAACTTGATAGAAAAATGAGGAAAGGACATGAAAGCGTTCCTAGTGGCCAACACTGAAACAACTTGAGAAATAAAAATAAATAATAATATTACTGCATAATGAACAAAAGAATAAAATTTAAATACACATTAGTCCATACATACGTACATTAAAAATTTAATAAATAAATGGTGATAAAGAATAGCTATTTTTTTCAGAATAACTGCAATTAAAAGATAAAAGGAAAGAAGAAAATAGAAAATCATTGCTATGCAAATACCACAGTAATAACGGTCTCAGACTACACCCACTGATGAATGTTAAAATTAACAGGCAAAATTTTTCAGAGAAACAGTATTTGCATAGTAACAAAACATCTCCCACAAGACATTTATTAACAACAAAATGAAAAAAAAAAAAACTTCACTATAGTGGAAAAATTCAACATATACCACTTTACCCAAGTTATCAAGGTTAATTTAAGATCACAAACAACACATCAACAACATGAACCCACTGATATGATACAGTGAGAAAAGCCCATCACTTCTGTGGTATTCTTGACAAAAAGGCATAGCCACATTCTAACCATAAGAAAACATTAGACCAATTGACAAAGAAGAGCATTCTACAGAATAATTGTCTAGTACTTTTCAAAAATGTCAAGGTCATGAAAGACTTTAAAGAAAGACTGAGGAACTATCACAGATAGAAGACCACAAAGACATGACAGCTCACTACAGTGTGTTATCCTGGATTAGCTCCTGGAACAGAAAAGGGACACTAATGGGAAAACTGATGAAATTCATATAAGGTTGGTAATATTATTAACAGTACTGTACCAATGTTATTCCTGGTTTTGATAATTGTACTATGGTTATGCAAGATGTTAACATAGGAATGTGAATTGTATCTGAGAATTCTCTGTAATATTTGTGCAATTCTCTTTCCAGACATCTAAAATTCAGAATAAAAGTTTTTTAAAAAGTTCTGAAAAAACTATACTGATATAATGATAAAAAACAGATCAGTGGGGCTTCCCTGGCGGCGCGGTGGTTGAGAGTCCACCTGCCAATGCAGGGGACATGGGTTCATGCCTGGGTCCGGGAGGATCCCACATGCCGCGGAGCGGCTGGACCCGTGAGCCATGGCCGCTCAGCCTGTGCGTCTGGAGCCTGTGCTCCGCAACGGGAGAGGCCACAACAGTGAGAGGCCCGCGTACCGCAAAAAACAAAAAACAAAAAAAACAGATCAGTGTTATCTGAGGTCAGGAGTGGGAGAAAAGACTGATTACACAGGGTTACAAAGGGATGTTTTTGGATGATGGAAATATTTCTATATAATGATTGCGTTGCTAGTCACATGACAATATTCATCTGTCAAAAGTCATGCACTGGTGAAATTTTGTTACATGAAAATTATACTTTAATACAGTTGACAAAAAAGAATTCTAAATGTAAAAAAAAGAATTCTTAAAAATATCTTGGATTGTGATGCCAATATAAGTGGAATGCAGAGAAGAGATACCAAATAAGATTATATGCTCTTACCAGGTTAATTAACTGAGTGTGTACTACATCTTCTACCAAAACTGCTGTTTCATGAAGAGGCCTCCTAGAATCACCTAGAGAAAACCTGCAAAGAAAATCAAACATACCAATATTAAGGACTGTAAAACTAAGAAAGGCAAAAGTGAAAAATATTTATCATGATACTGTTTAATAAAGTACAAATTGTCCTCTCAAATGACAGAGTACGTATACAATTTTCTATGGACAAAGAATTGCATCTTTCCTACATAAGCTGAAACTTCCAGAGAAAAGTGCAGTGTCATCAAAGTTATTTCTTGACTTGTGTAGGCATTTTTGAGGGCATTTACTATTTCAAAATGCAAAATTTTAAAGACAACCACTTCATAATATTGGCAACCAGAAAACTGTTACCATATCCAAACAGCCAATACAGCTGGCCCTTCATATCTTCAGGTTCTGCAGGTTCCTCGGATTCAACCAACCACCAATTGAAAATATTCGAAATAAAAAAAAAAATCCACAAAGTTCTGAATAGCAAAACTTGATTTTGCCACGTGGTGGCAACAATTCACATATCATTTACATTGTATTTACAATTATTTACATGGCATTTACTTTGTATGAGGTATTATAAGTAATCTAGGGACAATTTAAAGTATATGAAAATTTCCCCAAAGAAGATATACAGATTGACAATAAACACATGAAAGGATGTTCAACATCACTAATCATTAGAGAAATGCAAATCAAAACTACAATTAGGTTATCACCTCACACCGGTCAGAATGGCCATCATCAAAAAATCTACAAACAATAAATGCTGGAGAGGGTGTGGAGAAAAGGGAACCCTCTTGCACTGTTGGTGGGAATGTGAATTGGTACAGCCACTATGGAGAACAGTATGGAGGTTCCTTAAAAAACAAAACATAGAACTACCATATGACCCAGCAATCCCACTGCTGGGCATACACTCTGAGAAAACCATAATTCAAAAAGAGTCATGTACCATAATGTTCATTGCAGCTCTATTTACAATAGCCAGGACATGGAAGCAACCTAAGTGTCCATTGACAGATGAATGGATAAAGAAGATGTGGCACATATATACAATGGAATATTACTCAGCCATAAAAAGAAACGAAATAGAGTTATTTGTAGTGAAGTGGATGGACCTAGAAACTGTCATACAAAGTGAAGTAAGTCAGAAAGAGAAAAACAAATACCACATGCTAACACATATATATGGAATCTAAAAAGAAAAAAAAATGGTTATGAAGAACCTAGGGGCAGGATAGGAGTAAAGACGCAGATGTAGAGAATGGATTTGAGGACATGGGGAGGGGGAAGGGTAAGCTGGGACGAAATGAGAGAGTGGCATGGACACACATACACTACCAAATGTAAAATAGGCAGCTAGTGGGAAGCAGCCGCATAGCACAGGGAGATCAGCTCCGTGCTTTGTGTCCACCTAGAGGAGTGGGATAGGGAGGGTGGGAGGGAGACATAAGAGGGAGGAGATATGGGGATATATGTACACATAAAGCTGATTCACTTTGTTATACAGCAGAAACTAACACACCATTGTAAAGCATTATACTCCAATAAAGATGTTAAAGAAAAAGAGACATGGGATAGTCATAAATAGATCACTTTCACTGAATTTCCTTGTCCAAGATTCACTTAGGAAGGCAAAGTGGGTTATTTTGAGGGGCATTTGAAGAAAATGCTAAGTTTAACATTACCATTGAAGACTATGTGTGTAAATATTACAAATAATAATTCTGTTTATTAAAGTAAAAAAAAAGTATATGGAAAGATGTGCATAGGTTATATAGTAAATGCTATGTCATTTTATATAAGGGACTTGAGCATCTGACGATTTGGGTATCTGCAGGGGGTTCTTAGAACCAATCCCCCTCAGACACTGAGGGACAACTGTACAGTAACACAATAATAGCCACGTAGAAAACTAAAAACAGCATGTGATGTAATTAAAATGAAAACTGCTAAGAAAAATGCACGTAAGTGGTGTAAACTATTATTTCAAATTATATACAAGCAGATTATCAAGAATGGATGACAAAGCTGATCTTAAAAGTCCTCTTCTCAATTTTCATATTGTGGACTAGATGGTCCGGTAAAGAACATTTGAAAATATACAGTAATATATTAAAAACTTACATTTAAAGCATACTTTAACCAGCACTAGAGAGAACAAAAAAGAAGTCAGAGAAAATGAGAAAACACAGTTCCACAGGATAAGAGAGCCCTAGAGCCAAAATTTATTCTGAAAGCATCTACTTCTTTATAGTAGCCTACAGCTTGGATTTCAACCAGCAGAGTTTTCAAGGTATAGGAAAGAACGCTGGGACCTCAAGAGAGGTTTGAGGAAACTACTCAGAAGTTGAGAAAAGCAATGCCCAGATGGTGACACTTTCAGTGTGTGAACTAGGAAAATACCACTCCAAGGAAGGCACTTTGCCTGTCTTAGCCCAGGCTGAGTGAAAGAGAAAGAAAATGTGGTATTGGCACAAACAGACTATAGGAAAAGAACAGAGAGCCTAGTAATAAACATATAATGGTCAACTGATTTTCAATAAGGGTGGCAAGAGCACCCAATCTGGAAAGGACAGTCTTTTCAACAATTGGTGCAGGGAAACAAGATGTCCACATGCAAAAGAATGAAGTTGGACTCTTACCTTGTACCACATATTAAAATAAACTCAAAATAGATCAAAGACCTAAAACTATAAAATTCTTAGAATAAAACAGAAGGGGAGATCTTCATGACTTTGGATTTGGCGAAGGTTTCTTAAGTGTGACACCAAAAGCACAGGCAACAAAAGAAAAAAATAAATTGGACTCCATCAAAATGAAAACCTTTTATAAATCAAAGAACACTATTAAGAGAGAGAAAAGATAACCCACAGAATGGGAACAAAAATGTTTGAAACTCATATATCAGATAAATAACCAGCATATACAAAGAACGCCCACAACGCAAAAAAAAAACAACAACAAACAACCCAACTTAAAAATGGGCTATAGACTTGAATAGATATTTCTCCAATGAAAATAAACAAACGGCCAATTTCAAATGAAAAGATGCTCAAAATCATTAGCCATTAGGGAAATGCAAATGAAAGAAAACATGGAGATACCACTTCAAACCCATAAGAATGGCTATCATCAACAAAATGGAAAACAGTAAGTGTTGGCTAGGATATGGAGAAATTGCAAATGCTGTACGTTGCTGGTGGGAATGCAAAATGGTGCAGCCACTGTGGAAATGTGCATATGTAGACACCACCCGAAACTGAACAGCTGTAGTGTTATAGTCCCCTTCTGGAACACCCCTGAAAGACAGTGGTAAAGGGAAATCCTCCCAGTGCACAGAGCTTACAGCAGTGCACTTAGTTGTTTACTTGAAAGAAGAAATAGTTAGATGTGTAATTTTATACTGATTCATGGGCTATGACCAATGAGTGGCTAATGGTAAGGGACATGGAAGGAGTATGTTTGGGAAGTTGGGAAATTTGGGGAAGAGGTAGACAGATGTCTCTAAATAGGCAAAACAACAACAACAACAACGTGAAGACGTCAACTATATTTCAATTTAAAAAAACTAAAAAAAAAGTGAAGATATCTGTGTCTTGTGTGAATGCTCATAGGTGACCTCAGCAAAGGAAGATTTTAACAATCAAGTGGATACCATCAGCTTTTCCCAAATCACCCCATCATTGCCCAATGGGCTATGAACAAGGTGGCTGTGGTGGGAAGGATGGACTTCCACTCACCAAGGTCACTGCTGAGTGTCCATCTGTCAGCAGCAGAGATCAACACTGAGCTCCCTATATGGTATCATTCCCCAGGGTGATCAGTCAGCTACCTGGTAACAGGCTGATGCCATTAGACCACTTCCATCATGGCAGTGGAAGTGTATTATTCCTACTGGAATAGACACTCTGGATATGGAACTGGCATCCCTGCATGCAATGCTTCTGCAAAAATTACCATCTGTGGACTTAGAGAATGCCTATCCACTGTCATAATATTCTATACAGCACTGACTCTGATCAAGAAACTCACTTAACAGCAAGAGAAGGGCTACACTGGGCCCACACTTATGGAATTCACTATTCTTAACATGTTCCCCACCATCATGAAGCAGCCGGTTTGACGGAATGATGAAATGGCCTTTTGAAGTCTGAGTTACAGTGCCAGCAAGTTGGCAATACCTTGTAGATCTGGAGCAAGGTTTTCCAGAAGACTATACAGTCTAGAACCAGCATCTAATATGGTGCTGCTTCTCCCACACATAGAATTCACAGGTCTAGGAATCAAAGGATAGAATGGGAGAGGCACCACTCATTATTACTCCTAGAGACCCACTAGCAAAATTGTTGCTTTCCGTTCCCATGGCCTTATGATTTACTGGCCTAGAGGTCTTAATTCCAGAGGGAGGAATGCTTTCACATTTATGCCATTGACACAATTATTCCATTGAAATGCAACTTAAGACTGCAGCTGAGTCACTGTGGATTCCACATGCTTCTGAATCAACAAGCAAAGAAGGAGTTACTGTGTTGGCTGGGGTGAGTGATAGTGACTACCCAGTGGAAAATAGACTGGTACTCCACAGTGGAGGTAAGAAAGAGTATTTCTGGAATATAGGAGATCCCTTAGGACGTCTCATAGTACTACCATGCCCTGTGATTAAGGTCAATGGAAAACTACAACCCAATCCAGGAAGGACTACTAATAGCTCAGATCCTTCAAGAATGAAGGTTTGGGTCACTCCACCAGTTAAAGAATCACAACCAGCTGAGGTGCTTGCTGAAGGCAGGGGAATACAGATTAGGTAGTGGAAGAAGGTAGTTATTAATACCAGCTACAACCATATGACCAGTTATAGAAAGAGGACTGTAACGGTCATGAGTATTCCCTTATTTTGTTATGAATACGTTTGTGTGTGTGTGTGAATGTGAGTGTCGGAGAAATATCTGTTTCCTTCCCTCTCTTATTCCCTCCTCATGTAACATAAAATGTATTGGCCTTACAGTATTTGTTATTCATTTTATATCATAGTATTTAAGCTAGGAA